TGAAAATTATGAAGAAAAAAAGCAACAGACATGGAAAATAAATCTTTCTAGGCTCTATAATAGAAGGCTGTGCCAGAGACTAGCTAGCTGTTCACCAAATCGATTTCCTCTTCCTTCTGATCATACACCTAGACTATTATTTCCAAGTCTCCTTTGCAGTATTTGACTGTGTAACTGAGCTGTAGCCATGTAATGTTGGCAGAAGTGGTATGTGTCAGTTCCCAGCCTGGCCCATAAAAAACCTCCAGGTATTATTTACTCTCTTTTCCTTTCTGCTGTAATCTTATATGCCCCATGTTGAAGTGGTACAGCTACAGGTTAGAAGACTCCTGGATCCCTTGATGATCACTTGGAGGAGGGCCACCTCACCAGGAACAACCATTTTGGATTTTACATGAGCAAAAAATACAACTTTTATAGTGAAATTATGGAAACCCTGGTGGCATAGTGGTTAAGTGCTATGGCTGCTAACCAAAACATCAGCAGTTTGAATCCACAAGGCGCTCCTTGGAAACTCTATAGGGCAGTTCTACTCTGTCCTATAGGGTGGCTATGAGTCAGAATCAACTCAACGGCGATAGGTTTTTTGGTTTTTGTGAGATTATGGAGTTTAGCTGTTGCAGCACGCATTATTCAATGAATACAAAAATTGGTGTTCAAATATAGGGTTGTTATAAGAAGAAAAACTAAAACAAGTGACACTGGTTTAGTGGTCAGACAGCTGGCAGCAAGAATATACAGATAGTCCCCGACTTACGAAAGAGTTCCATTCCAATGACTGTCATAAGTCAGTTCTGACGTAGGTCAAATACCTCATTTTTTCTTTTTTTAGTTTTCATTATTATTACCTTTTATTATCAGTATCTTTATAAATCTGATCTTTATCATGAGAATGATAACATCAGCGAATTATGCACTGCAACACTGTATGTAGTACATATTACTAATGATAAAATGTAAAAAAAGAAAACTGACAATCTTAAGTGCGGTTCATCATAACTCAAATACACTGTAAGTCGGGGACCACCTGTGTATTTAACAGGCTGAAATGCTAGAGAGTTCTGTAATACTATTGCAAAACAACTACTAAAACTGGAACTTATAATAAATTAAAATGTAGATCAATGCCTACTGAGCCTATACCTCTGGAAGTGAATGGAGAGTGAGTTATAGTGTGCATTAGCATTTACTTTCATAATACATAAAAGAGATGAGGTCAGAAAAGATTGGCTGGTTTGCAAACTGACATGGTACAGAATAAAGGAAGTCAAGAAACTTAACCCTCAGATGGCTAGCTAGAAAGTTGAACACATACAGATTCCAAACAGCAAGAGAAAACGATAGGAAAGGCTTGAGCAACAAAGTACCAGGATTACTTCTAATTGAATGAAGTGACTCAATCCTGAAGCAAAGATCAGATTAAGGTGTAGGCTTCCCATCCATGGTTTCATGTAGCCTCAAAGTCCCAAAACCAAACCAAACCCACAGCTGTGGAGTTGATTCCTACAGGACAAAGTATAACTGTGCTAAAGGATTTCCAAGGCCGTAATCTTTAAGGAAGCAGATTGCCACATCTTTCTCCAGCAGAGTGCCTGGTGGGTTTGAACCACCAACCTTTCAGTTAGCAACAAAGCACTTAACCACTGCACCACCAGTGTTCCTAGCCTCAAAGTAGGGCCATTAAATTGAGAAAGAGTCAAGAGACAAGGGCTATTTTTCCCTACTTCCACTACTCCCCCAACCAGAGAAGAAAGAAAAAAAAAATCAATCTTGAAAATTACATTAAGGGAAAAACATTGGGTATGGTTTCCACACAGAATCTATTGGAAAGAAACAGATCAGAAGCCTTCTAAGTTTCGGAGGGAATTATAAGCCAAAAAAAAAAAAAAAAAAAAAAAAAAACCTCACAAATCTGGACTAAACAAACCTTTGACTGTTCAGAGCCTTAAAACCCTCAGGCCCCTAAATGTGCATGAGCAGAAAAAAGAAACTGAAATATATATATATATAAACGTAGATGGAGATATAGATATATAAAGAGTGAGAGAGAAATATGCCTTTTAAGAAACTTTAGATATTTCTGAAGTGTACATAGAGAAACATAGACAAGGAAAAACCTCTCAGAGGGTACAGCCAATAGCCCAGGAGAACAATGAGCAAACAAGCTCCTTCCACAGAAACAAGGTCTAAGCAAGGAATTTCCCCTACAACCAGGGCAGAGGGACTTCTCAATGTCTTCCCAAGAAAGTTACACAATTTGCTACGGAACAGTGAATACTGTGTGTCTTCCACTCTTCCCTTTTCTAAAGCAAAGTTTTTAATGTGTGGTTATCCTATTCTAGCTTCGTCATTGCGTGTGGAGGAGGGGAGTGAAGACAGAGGTGCGAATAACTTGTCATTTTAGTTCACTGGTCATCAGTCCATGAAGAGCCCTATCTGGATCTAATGGAGAGGACTGAGCATCATGGGAAAACACTAGACTTTGAGATGGATGTAGTGACTAGATGAGATGCTGGTTGTCACCCTTAGGGAACGGGTGAGTGTGTTCTATGTATGGAAGAAGAATGAAGGGTAGACCATGGGAGAGAGACTAACTACTACTATTCAACAAATCTGCGTTCTCCTCTTCTTAGGGACAGAGCAAGATTACATTTCCCAGCCTCCCTTACAGATTGCTTTTGTTGTTAGTTGCTGTCAAATTGATTCCAACTCTTGGCGATCCCACCTGTGCAGAGAAGAACTGCTCCATAAGGTTTTCTTAGCTGTAATCGCCAGGTCTTTCCTCCAAGGCACCACTGGGTGGGTTTGAACTGCCAGACTTTTGGCAAGTAGCTGAGTGCTTAAATCATTTGTAACAACCAGAGACTCCTTGTTACAGATAGGTGTAGCCATATAATTATGTTCTGGCCAATAGAACGTGGTTAAAAGTGATATGTGCTACTTGCAGGCAATCCTAAAAACTCTTTTTTGTCTTACCCCTTCTGCACTAATCTTGGAAGCCACATTAAAGATGGCAGAGCCACACAATAGAAAGATTCTAAGTCCCTAAATCATCACTGAGAAGAAAACCATCACAATGAGAAACATCATTTTGGGCTTGACGTACATGAGAAATAAGCCATTTCCTTTCCCTTTTTTCCAACATCTATGAATTCAAACAAATACTTTTTGAACACCTACTATGTACAAAGTATTTAGCAATGTCTCTCTCTCTCTCCCACTTTCCTTACTTCCTAGGTACTACAGAAGATTTAAAGAAGCCCTAGTAGTGCAATGGTTAAGCGCTCCATTGTGAACTGTAAGGTAGGAGGTTCAAACCCACCAGCGGCTCCCCAGGAGAAAGGACCTGGTGATGTGCTCCTGTAAAGATTACAGCCTAGAAAACTCTATGGGGCAGGACTTGACTCAACAGCAAATAACAACAGAAGATTTAAAAAGGTGTAAGATATCTTTACTCAAGGATCTTACATATACCATAACATAGGGTAATAATACATGTAGTAAGAGCCATACCTGAGATGTAAATTTTTATAGGAGGAATGAAGGGTTATCAGTCAATTTATAAATTCCAAATTCATAAAAGCTTTCATCTTCTCTTTACATGACAAGAAAATAGCAAACAGCTAATAGTTTATACAAACTGAGTGCCACAGTGGACAAATTCATTTCAATCTGACCTGAATTCTACTACAGGCTCTGACCTTTACAAGTTGTCTGAAATTGAACAAATTACTTCTCTCCCCTGGACCTTAATTTCTTCAGATAATTAAGGAGCGAGACCAGATAATATTACTTATCGAACAAGGTAATAATACTCTTCATGGAGTCCTCTCTTTCATCAAAAGGGAAGTAATGTTACTTTCTCAAGCTAGGGCTTAGAAAAGTAACTTTAAAAAAGGAAGCTTCCGAGCCTTTGTACTATACTCTCCTATATTTTGATAATTTAGGAAATATTAACTACAATACTCAAAAAGACTTGTCTTACAAGATACCTTCATTCCTATACTCAAAATACACTCAACAACACAAAGGTATATTTTCAATGATTAATTTTGTTACTATAACACTACAAGAAGACATGATATATCTATTTCTATCAGAAGTTTGTCATCAACTAGTTTTAAACGTTGTAGTTTGTAAAACTGAAAAGAAGAAAACAAAAAAGAATAACAGAAACAAGTTTATCTGCCCTCCCTTAGGAAAGGGTAACTGACTAATCTCTTTTGCTGAATGAGTTACTTGAAAGAAGATTACTAAGGCTAGCTGAGACCTAAAATATAACCCCAAATATAAATCTACTCCCTTATTCCCCCCAGATAATAAGAATTACAAATGACTTTTCAAGAACACAGTTGTTTACAGAACCAAGAATCATTTTCCATAAACAACTAAAACTTCTATTTCTTGTAGGAGGCTACATAATCAAGTATACTGAGAAATTTTAATAAAATCAATGTGACTTAAATTTCAAAAGAGCAAGCAGTACTGAAAATCATTACTATTACTGCTCTTTTATTCATAATGATGAAAGAAATTCAGATGATCCTTGTGGCTTTGGTCACTTAGAGATTTTTTTTTAATTTAAAGATTTTCTAACATATTTGTTAACTTCTAGCTATAAATAAATCCCCTTCTACAATCATAATTCACAGCATATCCTAATAAGTCTTTCTTCATTGACACCTGTTGATTAGGTCATTAAGTAAGAGGAGAACTTTAAAACCTCTTGGGCTTCAAATCATGACCAAAATCAAAGAAAGTGCTTAAAAAACTAGAAAACCTCTTCAAATCCACAATATAAACCATCACAGTCGAACAGTATTTACTGAACATCCACAGGGCAAAATACTAGTCAATTGTTGCGCTAGTCTCCATAAAGATGAAAGACTTACCTAAAATGACAAGATAAGCAATAATTAAGATACTTGGTAAAGAAAAACCTATGTTTAACTTAATACTTGCAAAACCAATGGCCAATCTATCATAAACACAAAACCTACTTGTTTCATGGCAGTCTCTCCAATTTTGTCTGAATGTTTGCGGATGCTCTCCAGAAAGTCTTTGAGATCGGACATAGAAACATCTTTTATTTCTTCTCGAAGTTTGGGGATGTTGTCCACCATCACCTTGCAGAATCGATAATGGCTTACTTGTGGCAGATAAGTATGCTCTAAATGTTCCAGAGTTTTCAGTGCAGGATAGTGCCTACAAAAGAATTGATCACCTTTAGCTCAACTCAGTTTTTTTTAGGATCACAGATATATTCCTCAGGCAAAAGTTCTAGACTGAGTTAGTTTTCAGTATACATAAGACAAATCTAATATTAAGTTTTACTGAGAACATCAATGGAAAAATCTCAAATCATTAAAGAGTAATACATAAATTAAAAGTCTAGTAAATTATAACAAAAAATTTAGAAAAATCTACCAATGATATTCATTATATAAATAAAAGGAAATACAAAATATTATCATCTCAATACCAAAAAATCATCCTATATAATTAAGTACCAAGGCTAGCCTTCCAGTTATGGTAGAGGGAAGAGTTTGGCAAATCTTCTTTCCAAAAAACAACTATAAACTAGACAAAACTATCAAAAAGAACTATATCAGGGCTCTGGAAATCAGCCAGTCACAACAGACTTTAAGACAAGATTATTATTAGGAAAGAGGGACATTTCATAATAATAAAAGGAACACTGTTTATCTGCTAGGTAGAAAAGCTTCCATGGCATCAGAGGAAGAACAAAACTAAGACTGATAAAGCTGACTAGGTAAAAACTTAAAATAGTTATGTATAAAAAGAACATAATAAGAATAACGAGGAAACAGCAAATTGGTAAAGATTATTTGCAACATCTATACAAAAGGTTAATAAACTTGAGTTTAAAAAAAATCAATGAGTGAAGAAAATTACAAAACAAGGTCAACATATTTTTTAAAAAGATGAAATTAATGTAAAGAAACACAAATCAAAAACACAATTTTGTCACTCAGACTGCCAAAGACTTCTTAAAAGATAATGTGTGTTATCGTCAAGAGTTTCAATAAATGGGAATTCATGGTCTGCTAGCCTAACATTTCTTTTTAATGATACAAAGTTTCAATGACGAATTTTAGCAAAACAGGTACTCTCAACAATTTCACTTCTAAATAATATTAGATGTACAAAAAGATGTATAAACCAAATCAGTTGGTAACAAGTCAATCTGGACTCATAGCAACCTCTACTTGTGTCAGAGCAGAACTGTGTTTCATAAGGTTTCAATGGCTGATTTTTCAGAAGTAGATCACCAAAGCCTTTCTTCCAAGGTGCCACTGGGTATACCTGAACCTCCAACCTTCCAGTTAGCAGCCTAGTGTGTTAACCAACTGCATCACCCAGGGTCTTGAATTGCAGTTTTTTTAAAATATATATTAGCAAATTTGAAAAATTAACCTAGATGTCTAATAAAAAGGAATTGGTTAAATATACTATCACATGCATACATATATATATGTATGTGTATATACAGTAAAAGACTAATGAAATAGCAAAATATTTACAATATTGTTAAATAAAAATTATTTCAGAAATAGAACTTACAAGATTTTTCCAATTTATATACATGTAGAAACTATGACTGTGTATGCATGTATAAGATATAAATCACTGAATACACACATACATACATACATAAGCACATAGACTAGAAAAATATATACAAAAATGCTAATCATGGGTTTTTGTTGTTTGTTTTGTTTTTGTTTCGTTTGGATAGCAAGATTATGGGTGATAATTTTTTCCTTTATGCTTTTAATTTCCCGATTTTCCCATTATATTATATAGTACAGCAAAACTCAGTTCCATCCTTACGGATTAAAAAAAGAAAAAAAACTTACAGCCCTATTTTGAATTTTTAAAATGAATTTTATGGCAGATAATTGAAGCTCTTCTTGCCCCAATGCACTTAGTACCACAAAAACTAAAGACCAGGGACTGGTTTCACTTGTTTTGTTTCTTTTTGTTTTCCCACACAAATTCCAAAAAACAAAATCTCACTCCAAATAATTGGAGACAATAAAGGTTTATTTCCCCTAAATTCAAAAATAAATGTACATATATAGTTAAGTCAAGAATAGTTGCTTTTGTTAAAATTTTACAGACTCAAAAAAAGTACAATTCACGTGGTTTTGTGTAAACAGAATGGTGTTTATACTACAATTAGGTACGAAGCGCTATGTGCAATAAAATGCAATTCCTCTAGAAAGAAACTTTAGACTGGATAGAAAGCCAGAATTAAGCCAAAAAGATAAACACACTTTGGGGTTTAGTTATATTTTGGAACACTGTTTATAGAATGAGAAAAATTCAACAATGTTGCCTGCGGACACAAGGCACATTCACTGATGAGACACATGGCTACGTGCTGAAACATCTGGTCTGTCAAATAGATCCACATTTTTCAAGACTAATTAGTACAAAAGACAGTGATTCCTAGTAACCAGGAATGTCATCTTATTTCCCTATTATCCCTTCCCCAGCATACTCATATTCTAACTATAACAGATCAATAAGATTTCAGCTTATTCAAATTTCTACTGTATTTCCATAACAATGACAACTTAAAGAATGACAGACAATTAAATACCTGCATAGCAGGCACCAGAAGGAAAAAAAAAAAAAAAATTCCACTTCCAGTGGGCAAAAGAATCCAAAATTAGATTTTCACATTACATTTGACAAATTCCAAACATTATAAAAACTGAATTAAAAGCCAAATTCCTAAGTTTCACTGTGTGCATGTGCTCGCTCACACTCTCTTACTTTCCATGCAGGCTTTATTTCTAATAGGAATGTGTTTTGAAAGAAAGTAAATGAATTAAAAGCAGGGGATAAAAAGGCAGGAAAAGAGATTTAAATAATTTTATAAATTGGATAAGTGAGGTCAGAATAACTTAGACATGGTTGAAAGCCATCATGAGAAGAGTAATGTTGAATCCAGGCATATATGATTCGGAAACTTTCTTGCCATGCCCTGGAACGCTTTCATAATGATTGTTTTAAAAATTCCAATAAGTGATCCTTTAAAGTGGATCATAACTACCCCCTAAAAAATAAAAAAAAATTCAGAGTAAGATAAAAATAAGAAACAAAAGCTCTCACCACAGAAAATGTATCAATGCCTTTTCTAATCAAAGAGCATCATTAACAAAAATTTAATCCGTTCTATGTGCTAGAGATAAAAAGATGGTTAGATATCTTCCCTTAGGGAGCATAAAATAATATAATCAGTATTTAGAGCTTAAAAAAAAAAAAGATAACTAGGCTTTCAGCCATGAAGAAATAACAAGGAACAGACCTGACCTCCCTCTTTAAACAAGTACAGAATACTGGCTAAAATAAATGAAACAACTGTTTTCAGATATTGGACATCAGGCCACACAGAACTGTGATCTCTGAAGGAAGGGAAACAAACAAGGAGAGTTTAATAATCACCCAGATTATCTATGTGAAGGTGACTTCCAGATTGCGGAGATAGTGAGGGAAAACCCAAACAGAGTCTAGCAGCCTTGCTGAGTTGAAGAATCAGAAATGGAAGTTCAGGAAAGTGGAGGCAACTTGAAGTTGTGAGGCAGAGTTCCAAAAATAAGGGAAAAAAATGGAAGCAATGCAGAAATCTGCACAGCAGTTCCCTTGAGTCTTTGCTGAGTACTAGACCAGGAATACATAAAGTGAAATTCCACATGGGAAGGGAGGGAGGGAGAAAAGGAAGGAGACAGACTAAGAAAGAAAGAGAGAGAGAAAAGAGAATGTGAGAAAACAGAGAGAGAAGGACTGGAGATGTTAAGATGAACATTTTCAAGAGCTCAGAAAGACAGGGAGACATTTGACCTCTGACCATCCAGATGGAGAGTCCTTGGTGATCTGTGAGTTATTCAGAGGAGATTATAGATTTTACTTATTTAGTAAAGCTAAACTACCCTTGGAATGAAGGTGGACCTAACAACATTTAAAAATGGGGTTTAAAAGGATCAAACTGATCTGAAAACAACCTATTTGCCAAAACAAAGCCCAACACTCTCAGGAGGGCCAGGGGTGGGGGGGCAGATACTCAACAATGTAATAAAATGCCCAACACTCAATCAAAAATTACTAGACATAATAAAAAAAAAAAAACCCAAACCCATTGCCGTTGAGTCAATTCCAAGGCATAGCGACCCTACAGGGAAGACCGGAACTGCCCCATAGGGTTTCCAAGGAGCGCCTGGTGGATCTGAACTGTAGACCTTTTGGTTAGCAGCCGTAGCTCTTAACCACTATGCCACTAGGGTTTCCGCTAGACATAATAAGAGCCCCAAAATGTGACCCATAACCAGGGGAAAAAAGTCTACAGAAAGAGACTCAGACATTTCAGAAATTATAAAAATAGCAGAGAAGTACATTTAAAGAGCTATGATTATGTACTTGCATTTTTTAAAAGACACAAAAGTAAAAAGAAATGAAACCAAAAAAATAGCACTCCTCTAAAGATGAAAAATATACTATCTGAAATGAAAATTTCACTGATCAGGCAATGAGAAGTAAAAAAAAAACCAAACCATTGCACTTGAACACAAAACAATCTATACAAAATAAATCATAGAAAAAAACAAAAAAAGAATCAATCTTCAAGTCACTTGTGAGGTAATAGCAAACTGTCCAACATAGATGTAATTTTAGCCCAAAAAGAGGGAGAGGAGAAGGACTGAAAAATGAAAAAATAATGTCTGAACGTCTTTTAGATTTTATGAATATTATAAATCCACAGATCCAAGAAACTAAACAAACCACAAGCAACATAAATACACACATACATTTACACCAAACTGCATCAAAATCAAATTGTTAAAAACAAATGATAAAGACAAAAGCTTTAAAACATCTGCAGAAAAGATACATATGTATAGAGGGACAAAGATAAGATGATTCACATATCTCTCCTCAAAAATTATGCAAGCCAGAATTCAACGAAATGACGTCTTAAGGGCTAACGAAACTATAAACCTAGACGTGTATACCCATCAAAAATATCTTTCAAAAATGAAGGGGAACAATGAGATACCATTTCACAACCACAGGGTCAGTATGAGTCAGAATCAACTCGACAGCAACGGGTTTTTTGTTATTGTTGTTGTTGTTAGTTGCCATCGAGTCGATTCCAACTCATGGTAACCCCATGTGTA